TTTAAAAGTTGATGTATGCCTACAGCTGCAGTCAGCCAAAAGCACAGTCTTGACAAAAAGGTTCTGAAGAAAAGCAATTGTTATCACCAGATATTTTAATTTAATGAAATAAATGGCTAGTGGGAAAAGTCAGTATACAAGCAACATAAAAGAAATGATAAAATAATGACCTCTTTAAAAAAAATGAAATTTTCCCCAGCTCTGCCAGGATTTGTTCTCCTCTTTTAGGCAGACCGCAGCCTCTGTTTTCCCCTACTATCTGCACTGTAGCTGTGATATTTACCTCCTCCACAGTGATCCTGTAGTGCATGACTTGCAAAGATCATTTTATAAACTTGGTGTTACTAGCATCCAGTCACATTAAGTACCAGAAAAGTATTAATTCCATTTTATGTTTCTGACATATAGACTTGTTAATAGCTATTGACAACCACTTACATAAAACTTCTGAAAGAATAGCCACTAAATGCTGTTTCTGAGCACTTCTATCTATATAACCGTTAAGATTTAAATACATCAAGCCTGAAACAGATTTATAGATAGTAAAAATATCTTGAGTTTTGAAAAAGAACTAAAAAACTGTAAGCAAGTGTAGTATAAAATATGGAATTGTGTTTTTGTTGGATGTTCTTTATGCTGTAAGACCTTTAGGAGAATGATAAGAGCATGCCAGAAAATTATTAACTCTCTCCCAAAATATGCAGTGGCAGCTGCTTCAAATATGTTGAAACTAAGTGGCTAAAAAGCCTACAACTGATATTTACTCTGCAACTATTTGTATGAAAGAAAATGTTTTAAACTTATGTTTTAGATTATGATTTTTTAAATATAAATAATTAAAATGTATGGGGAAAACCTAAGTCTTGGGCTGAACCATTTACTACGTACAACTACTATTTACATTTCCTTCAGAAAAATTCAAAACTTGCTTAAAATTTCAGTTCTATTGCTCTGAAGCCCTGCTGAGCTCACCTGTGGAACTACTTCAGTCTGTACCATAGCAACAAGAAACATACACAGTGCAAATAGCAGTGACATATACATGTGCGTATGAATTTCTAGACAGAATACAGAATGAAATAAAGTGCACAGCCCCAAAATTTTGCATACACATAACAAGATTATCCACATTCAAATTTAAACTGTGGGCTGAATAAAGAGAGTTTTTAATAATTAGAAGACACCAGTCATAACCAGTATCCTTGTTGGCTAGAGATGTGAAAGGGACAAGAAAACATCAAAAATCTGAAAAAAATTCCCCTTTGAAAAAAAGTTTCACTTAGAAACTGTTCCATTAAAAGGACTAAACCACTTCATAATTACAGTATTACCTGGAGAAGAGTCTGAGTTAATATTAAACTTAGAGGACAAGAAAGGAAGGAAACCATTTCCATTATGTCTTGTATCAAAGCATCTAATATAGCAGAAGACAGTAGTGTAAGCTTTCATTAGCAAAAACAAAAAGCAAAGGATTTCCAGTCTGAGATGCCACAGAAAAAAAGAGTAGTATTTGTTTTCTGCCCTCTCCTTCTGATCAGATGGAAAGGAAAAGGCAGCTTCCCTACAACAAAGAAAACCTGTAATTTAAAATTCCATTTTCTTCCAAAAGAAAGGCAGAGATTAGCCCAGATGCTGCAGAAACAAGAGTATATTTATTGAAAAATATAATTTTTATGACTTTATTTTTACAGTATAGTGGGGTTTTTTTGCATAACTTCAGTATTTGATGTTCAGGTTAAGTAAATATTCCTTCATTCTTCAATATTTTCTAGTAAATAGTAGTTGTCCGAGTAATATAACACACAAGGGATACTCAAAGAGTACAGCAATCCCCAAACCAGCAACTCTGAAACACCTTAAAAAGCACCCCTGCCTTCCTCTGCAATAATACCCATAGCTTATGTGCAAAGCAGGAGTGTTTGCCTCATATGGACTATACAGAAGCTTTTTAAGAATTAGTATTATAGAAGTCAGAAAAGGAGGGAGTTCATCGGCAACGACCATGAAGGCCTCCAACATGCACAAAGGTAGCACAGAAAATGAATTTTAGCAGCATCAGAGAAATACATAATTAAACAGAACATAGTCATCAAAAAATGCACATTAGAAGAGGTTTTGAAAATCTTAGCTAAGAATTATTTGTAGCTACATAAACATACACAAATACATAAACATTTTAATTTTGTAGAAAAAAAGTAGATCGACCAAATTTTATACAATTATTTCAAACAACTCCTAATTTTCAAAATCAATTTATGAATTTAAATTATTTCTCCAGATAACTATTGGTCCATAAGAAAAAATAATTCTGCACTCCAATATATTACCACAACCCAAGTGATAAGCTCCCAAAGTTTCCTTTGAGTAATGTACAGGGCTGAGACTACAAAAATATTTTGAATTGCTAGTACAGGCCAAAAAAAGGCTTGAGGGCAACTCATTTTACCCACTAATGAATCAAAGAACAGAAGAGAGAACATACTCTGATGCAACTCCATCTGACTTCTTTTATCAGTATACAACTGTTCTCTATTGAGCAATCAAGCAATTTGTCACATTTAAGAATGGAGTTGGAATTACTCGTGTAGACTATTAGACTTATAGAATGTAGACTAATAATGTGCACCATGACTATTCATTATATGAACATTCTTTGCATAAACAGAACACAATTTAGATACCACTGACAAGGCAGATATTAAAGATAACATAAGAAGGAGTCATTTCAACATACACATGGTAATTTCATTCTGTGGGTAGGTAAATTTGAAAACCACAAACCCCATCTATTTAAGTCTTCAGAAGCAACATAATGCAGCATATTCAATATTCATGATAAACATGTAAGGTCTACAATACTTCAGAACTGAAAATGTATACAATGTCAAAACGTAAAACCAATCAATAATAGAATGGAATAAAACTCAAGACAAAAGGATGCAACTTTTATATTGAAATATTTGGGAGAAATTCAATGTAGTATTTTTGGAAATGTAAGTTTCCGAATTCTAACTTGTTGCCAGTAATACTTAGTGCTGATATCTTAATCTACTGCTAGCCTGACTGTTGAAGAGAGGACAAAGTGAACTTATTTGTAATCAAATTTTGTTCTGTTCTTAGCCAAAAGACTTTCTACTGCATTAATTTCCAACTCCAAACAAGCAGTCACATTCAATTGCTCTTGGAAGTTCCAACTCAATTCCACATTGGAGTTTTACACACAAAGAGTTTATGCAAAAATAACAACAATGCAACAATGCATATTAAATATGTCTATCAGAACATTAATATAATTAGTATTAATATTAAGTTACATAAACTCAGAATTTAAGAACAAACACTCAAAACAGACATCTAGTAAGAAATTAAGTATTGGTTCTTGTGGTGAAAGGACTGCAATATTAGACACCCTACTGCACAGGTCAGGTCAGATGATTGAAATCAGACATGGGGTCAGCTTAAACAATTATGAGGACACACTTCATACTGTCTTAATACATATTGTGGGATCTGCAAAAAATCATGAACATTAAAGGATTCTGGGATGTGACAGCCTGGGAAGGCAAAAAACAAGGTTTAAAAGCAAGGTTTTGCTTTTCTCTGTCCAATCTTTCTGCGTGGAAAAACTCATCTAAGTCAAATACATATGTTTCAGCATGGCCATGATGTTCTCCTTCAGCATGTAAAGCCAAGGCTTGCTGCTATAAAAATTAAGCTCTTTTAGTCAAAGTTTGGAGTTAAATCCATAAAAAGGAACTCCACTAGGTTCTTGGGGCTCCTTGCATAGCATTAACTCTAAAGCTAGATCCTGATGTGTTGGAATGTGCAAAAAAATATCCTTCCCTGCAATTTTTATACGCTATGAAAGTATTACTAATCATACTACTACTTTTGCCAAAACTTGGGTTAAAAAAAAAAGCATTAATATAAACCAGGACCAAAGAAGCTTGAAATCCTACAGCTGCTTCTTCAGCTTCAGAGTAGAAATGTTTGTTAACAGTTTCTTAATACCTTGTCTATAGATAAGTGAAAATACTGGATCCACACAAACGAGGAAACCTGCAGCCTGTCCTGACCTTACCCTGCCAAGTCAGCTTTTGAATTGTGGCTTTTATGCTACAGTACATGGCATACATGATGATACAGGGAGTATTCTGAACAAATGTCCTGTCAGTGCACTTGAAAGTTATTCAAAGACTTCAGAATGCAGAAGAATGCACACAAAACGTAGAAATTGTAATAAATTTAATTTCTTCCAAACTGTTATTTCATTTGCATTCAGAACTGCATATTTTTGCAAGTTAGAGGTCATTTGCTAAGCAGACAATATTTTGTTTTATTGCTTTAATAAGACAAGCAGTTCTCTTTAATTACAGTTACCAAGTGGAAAACTTAGCCAAAGTATGTTCTAATTTTCAGCTCTACATTTTTCAAGTTAATTGCTTCCCCCCTTGCTATGCAATTTTTCTTCTGTGCTCTTTGTGTCTGTTTTATTTTTTATGTTGCTTTTATTGCAAAAAAACCCAACCCAACCCAAACAAAAACAACCAAAAAAATTGAGTTAGCACTTTCTTTTCTGACCAGCAAAAAACATCTGCTGAGCATCACTGTGAGTTCTAATGCATGTTTGTAGCATGATTATTATTAATAAAACACTGGAAAAGGTGGTATTAAGTTAACTGGTCCTTTTATTTATCATTAATCTCTGCATCCTGAAGAGTTGCATTATCTGTACTCTGACTCAGAACACACTTCTTTCTGAATTATTTTTGAGGTCTGGAATATAAGCTTTTATATAAACGATATAGTTTAGCTTTGCTTTATATATTTTCTAGAAGCACAGTTGCATTAAGTACTTCTTCAGAGTCTGCCAAGAAAGAAAGATTTTTCTAAGTCATCTGAAATATAAAACACGCATTTCAGTAGCTAAGAGGAAATAGTATTTGTAAATCTCCCCAGTACTTAAAAAATAACGTGATACTTCCTATATGTTAACTTACCAACCCCAGGAAGAAGGTGTCCAAAATGTATTTTTTCTTCCTTCTAAGTTTGAGCAGGTGTTTCTTGGAGCTGAAGGACAAGAAGAAAAAAGTCCCATTTTGTACAACCTGCTTTTCAAGAAGGTGAACTCAAATTTTCCTTCCTTAAGCACGTCATGAGTTTTGTTTCATAAGTGACAAATGAAAATTAGACCATAAAATGTTTTTCCAGGCCAGTTTTCAAGAATAAAGTGCATTCACATAAAGAATTAACTTGATAATAATAATTTTACATCTGTGACTGGCTGAATTCCAGCTTAAGATCTCATTTTGTCTTTGAGTCAAGAACCTAGACCTCAGATATTTTTCAAGAAAGGATTTCAACCAACAAATAGCACTTTTGAATTGTATATTAGTCCAAATGCTCCTCTTGTGCCTTAAAGTCAACTGAAGTTCTGACAGAAATATTCCTCAGAGTACTCTCAATCTCAAATATATGCTTTGATGGAGCAAAAAAAGACCTTCACCTTTAGGACTCAACAAGATACTTGCCCTATGTGATTTGGCCAATATACCTCGTTTTTAGAGGCCAGGAGGGAGGCAGAGGAAAGCAGTGCATGTGTGTGCAAATACAGTGTAAGGGAGAGTACAGGATTATTATGCTATCTTGTTTGTATGCTTCAAATCCCTTCTTCTCTGGCTATTGTTAAGTCCATCAGATGGTTTTGAAATTGGTTTAGAACTCTTATACTGATTTTTGATCTTTACAGCAGTATTGCAGAAGTAACAATCTTCAGTCCTACTAGTACATGAGCCAAAAGACAGAGCCATGTGTAGCACAGGAATATTCAACAATCAGGTTAATTTCACATTGCTTTTATCTAAAAGGGTTGTAATGTGGATCCAAAACTTTAAGTCTGCTTTTATAAACGATCTATAAATTGTAATACATTAATTTATTCAAGTAATTGTGGCTCATAGCTGAAAATAATTAGTAATTGTAATGAATGATTATTATTCAGTATTTTTAAACAGCAATTATTCAAAGCTGTAATTTACTTTCTGGCAAGCCTTTCTCCTCTTATCAGTCCTTTGATACTGATATTTTTCCAGTTTCCTCTGGTTGCAAAAGTCAATTTCAACTGTAATTTCCTAACCAAATATAGCACCTCTGCTTTGGCTCTAGAAAGATATGAAAAAATGCACCCATTCTAACTAAATTCAATCCTGCCCTGGGGAAAGATGAAAAAACAAAGTAGGCTACTAGAAGACAGAAAAATAAGATGATGTGACAGGTGCCTGGGCACCATTTTTCCTTCACTGTCAAATACTAGAAAAAATGAGAAATCCTGTAATTGCAGATATAGCAACCCCTAGAACTTCTGTTTGCAAGATGAAAGATGATGAGCGGTTTCAGACTTTTCAGACTAGCAGTGTCAGAGTTTACAACTTACTGACATTTTCAGTTTTCCACATACAACCAATCATAGCTAACAACTATATTTAAGAAAAAAAGTCAATCATATGGGATACAAAACCTCTGTAGCAAGGGATAGCTTTCACAGCATTCTGCAACTTTAAGGGACATGTTTGCCTGTCTGCGATCATTAGCAAAACTGGAGACTGACTTTTTGTATTAGAATAGCCAAAGGTTAAGGGGAGAGCAGATGCTTCTTTCCAGTTCTTTGGCTGCAACAAAAAAATTTCCAAGTCAATCAACATGACATGAAAAGTTTTATTATCATTTCTATAAGCACAGGCAGCAGTGATTCCCATTCTGATGGGAAGCTTAAGTCTTTCCAACAGATACCAATTAGGGGTTGGCTTCCTGGTCCACTGCTCAGGAAAAGCAGCAGTCCAGTTCTCAACTGCCTTTCACTAGGAAAATTTAATCTCTAGACCTTACTATGAGAAACCTGAGGAATCACTGAATCATAGAATATCCTCAGTTGGAAGGCACCCATGAGGACCATAAAGTCCAGCTCCTAGCCCTGCATAGGATAGCCCCAAGAATCTCACTGTGTGCCTGAAAGCATTGTCCAAATGCTTCTTGAACTCTGTCAGGCTCTCCCTGGAGAGCCTGTTCCAGTGCCCAACCACCCTCTGGGTAAAGAACCTTTTTCTAATGTAAGAAAGAGACAGAGACAATGTGACAGAAGTGAATTTCAAGAAGTGGGATGCTAAGAGGGGGAGAAAGTTACTTTATAGTTCAGATTCTAACAGAAGATGAAAGATTGGGTGAAGGAAGGGCACTGGCTCGCCACAAGACAGGAGAAAGAGGAACAAGGGCTATCAAAGGGCAACACTTACAGAGAAAACTCATATAGGCAAGAAGAAATATTTTAAAGACAACACTAAGGCACAAATTAATTCTATCATTAGTACCAAATAATGCCCAATGCATACTCACCTTCCCAAATGATCTGTGAGGAAGTCATGCAGTTTCTGCTGAAATTTTAAGCAACATGAACTTCTCCCCCCAAATACCAGTTTCACCATGGTTAACAAAATTAGTTTGTACCCTTCTGTGAATAATTTCAATAAAAAATTAAGTATCACGTGGGAGTGAATGTGTTTCATCTGTTCAGACATTAAAAAGTGTTTATGCTTTCACTATGATCCAATGAAGGGAAGAATCTCTTTGGACAGCTGACTTATGACCAACTAAAAGCACTTCATAAAGCTTCAGATGAGATACCCTATGCCCTAACTGCAAGATAAAAAACAAGCCCAAGCGTAGTGGGCAACAGTAGAGTAGCTTCAGCAAAATTAATGGTTTGATATTTAAGACCTCATCAGCCATCCATTTGATTTTTGGTAATGGTGGTTGCCACTCACCATGGAAGGTTCATTACAAATGACGTTTGCCTCAGCTACTTCATTGCAGACATCACTGGCTCATTAACTCTGTTCACAATGGGTCATTGCGCAGAAGCAACTGAGGCACAGACAAATTTCCATTGTGCAGGCTGTAGGGATGGAACCATTTTTAGATGGAAAGAACCATTTTGAATCCCCCCAACTGTTACATGGTGGGTTTGTACAATTAGTAACAGTGTGACGTTAATTTGGATAATTGAAGTCTTTTGGAGGTCGCCAGCTATGCAGCAATGAGTGGAATTTGAGGTGAATATAATCCTGAACATGTTTGCAGACCAAAAGAGTCAAGCCAAGATTTACGTTAACTTTGTGTTAAGATACAAGATTGTAAACTTGAGTAAATAATTCTCTGACAAGACTGTAACCCACTTGTTGATGACAGTAAACAACCTGAGTTAAAGCTATACAGCACTCTAGACAATATGGTAAACAACTGAACAATACTAATTTCAGGCTTTGAAGTGCAACAGCAATATTAGGAAGGGTAGAATAATAATTAAAAAAAAACACAAAATTTTTTTAGGATCTTGAAGAATTATTAATTAATCATACTTGCACACAAATCTTTGAAAAAAAAGATTTTTGTAGTGTGTGTGTAATGTGTTGCAAGATTTTTTCCTATTTAGCTGATTGCATATTTATATTTCTGTTCCACAGAGACTTGTTTGTAAGCTCATAATTCAATTCTACAAAGATCACACCATTAATCTATAAAATGTTAAATTTCAATGTAGAAAAGAATGGTGATATTTGTTTTAAAATATTAAAAAAATCTCAATGAAGACACGTCACATGCTGATAAAATGGAGTTTAGGAAGTCTTTTGTTCAGATTGATTTTCAACAATTTTCAAGATCTGTGAGACTATCATTTAGAAAGCAGTTCTATCAGCTAAAGGATTTCTGACCTATAGAGTCATGCCAGATACCAGTAGTTTTATGTTGGGTATTCATTTTTCCAAGAGTTAAATTAAAAAAAAAAATAGGATCTAAGCAGCAGTTCCTTTTCCTCCTGGTAGTTTCTGATACCAAGAGGGAAAACAGTTTCAGTTTCTGTCAAACCAGCTGCAGCCCAGTGGATTGGTTGGTTTTCTGGCATGATGGTTATGACCTCAGCGCTAAATGTAACAGTGCACCCCAAAACTGGAAAAGAACAGAATATATACCTATGTTCAGCAATGAGGTACGTACACTTCAAGCATGGACTCCAAGCTCTCACTTCTTGCACAGTGTTTATGTACTGTTCCTCTCATGCTCTGAGCTAGAAAGAGCTGCATCTATTTCTTGCGCTAAAGCCTCCCTTCCACCACGAAATCCAAGAATGCATAGACTTTTAAATAAAAGGATGGAGATGATATAGATGTACTTCTAGTAACGTGGGATTCCAGGATTTTATTCTCAATACTTATCCCTACCTCTTTTTCACTATGGATAGATCTTGAGCAATTTCCTACTTGCCTAAAAGTAATAATAAAAAATATATTCTGATTTTATGTAAGACCTCATAAATAGTCTCTGAACCAAAAAACACAATACCTACCAATCTTATAGAAAAAAAAACAAAAAAATCAAAACTCTCCATCTACTTAAGCCACTATTTCTTGAAAAAGGTTCTAAAAAACAATCAATATGTAATTTGTGGAGTGAGCAGAAATTTAGTGACACCAATTGTTTCACAGCACAAGCTTAGACTCTTCACAAAAATTTTCCCTCCTCTCAAAAAATCTCATCAGTTCAGTGTTGATATATGTACCTTCACCCAAATCCAAAAGCTATAGAAATACAAGCCAAGACGAATGTTTAAAAACAAAACTGAAGGAATTCCAGTTAAGTCCATACTGTCATCTTTGTGAAAATACAGTTTTAATTATCCCTCATGATGTTTAACTGGTTTTTTTATGTGGTTAAAGAGTTTCTTCTATTCACTCAGAAAACAGTATATTAAGGGTTTTTTTACTGTAAAATTTGAGTTGTGTTTCTATGATATCATACTGTTAGATGCTTTAAAAGACATCTGTCGCCTCTCATATCCCTCTAAAACTAGGAAACAAATTTTTTATTTGAATAAAAATGGCAGTTAACTGGTTATTAATAATGAGTCTCATATTTTTAAAGTACAAAATATTTACATTTGTGACATGCAGCAGGCGCTGTGGTAAATGTAAACTTTTTTGTGACAATAAGCAATGAGCACTCAACCTCATACCAATAGT